GGCGCCTGTGGTCCCAGCAACTTGGGAGGCGGAGGCAGGAGACTCGCTTGAGCCCAGGAGTTGGAGGTTGCTGTGAGCAGTGAAGCCAGAGCACTCTACCCAGGGGCACAGCTTGAGGGTCTGTCTCAAAAAAAAAAAAAAAAAAAGAACTAGAGGTCTTAGTGAAGGTAAAGAGAAAAAATGGTCAAGGCTGTCTCCTGCTAAAGAGAGGCTGGGGAAACGTAAAGACTAACAGATACCTGCTCAATTCAAGGGTCTCTTTCCTGTTATTTCTATATAATCACAGTTTGGGAGCATTTAAGATTTGCTTTTTATCCTTGATAAGCAATGTGCTATGGCTTTGCTATAATGAATCCAGGCCAACATTTATCTTTATCTTTCTTGGGACTCCACCTGCACTTGAAATCTCAGTACATATCTCTTCCTTTAATTCTGAAAAACTCTTAGCATTGCATCTTCAAATGGCTTCTCAATCACCCCTTTGAGTCTTGTCTTGCTGGAGCCACCATAAGTACATACTGGAAGGTCTGTGTGCTAGAAGGCAAGATATAGTCTATAAGCCACCTGTCTGCAACCTCTGGGTCAAGGAATGAGGGGCTGAAGTGTGGCACAGTGTGTTCTACTTAGATGGCTTCCAGAGAGAAAGTTGTGCATAGAATTTAATTTGCAAGTTATGCCATCTATCAGGCCTAATGGAAAGGAAGTAGAAAGAAACACAGACTAACATTTCAAGAAATGTGGTCAGAAAAGTAAGAGAAGGACTTAAAGAAATAACTGGATCAAGAAAAGGACATTTTTATGTAAGAGAAAATAGAAAGGGAGGCATCGACACCATAAAAGGGGGAACATCCCTGGAAGTAAAGTTGCAGGATAACCCAAATATTTCAAACAACAAAGAGTTCTCATAAGAGAGCTCCCACTGGGATGGCTTCAATCTTCCCTATAAAATAGATGATGATGTCATTTGATGAGAGTAACAGGGTTAGAAGGGGATTTGGAGGGGGAGAGGTGGAGACGGTTTGGAACGGCCACTGTGGGCTCTACAGTACTGATTCAACAAGAAAGGAACGGAATGCACAGCCATGGCCCCAGCTGCTGAGGCTCGCTGGCGTAAGCAGTAGTATACTCTAGCACAGCTTTGTGACTTCGGCCAACAATTCTTGGCAACTCAAGATGTTAAACAACTGCCTGAGCACATGCTCTTCCACATGTGGAAAGAGTGCCAGGGAGAAGAGACTCAGAGAGAATTCCCTTCTGTGGAAATACAGGCAATCAGGGGATATTAGTTTGATATGTGTTTTGGTCACAAAAACTCATAAACAAAGTGGTCACTGAATTCTTTCCTTTAGCGAGCAATACAAGCAACCCTGTTTCAATCCATCTAGAACTAGATTAAGGAAGCCAGGACTCTGGATGGGAGATCAGCAGAGTACGGCCCCATTGCCATCAGTTTTCTGAACAAACAGGATATCTGATATCTCTAAAGCAAATATTTTGCTAACTCCTACAAGTCGAAAAACTAGATCTCCTTCCTTGAATACCTTTAGTAACATTACACACATAATGTTTTCATTCAAATTAAGGCACATCAAGAAGTAAAAGAGGGTGTCGTTAATAACTAAGGGGAAATGGTCATCACATACAGAAACTGATCCTGGCAAAGTGGAACGTGTGGCCCAGCCTTACTATCTATGACCCACACAGAATTGCAAAGAACAGTTCAGAAACATGTGGAACACACAGTGGGTTGGTCATGGAAAAAAGGAGAAAGCCTAATCAGAAAACTGTGAGCAGCCAGGACAGAAAGCGTTTGGAGGACGCCCAGAGTCACATATGCAAAGGGTTGTGGTTAGCCAAACCTAACAACACAAAACCAGTTTGGAATATATTATGAAGAACAGGCATAATTCTTCTAATTGAAAAATGTGTAGTGACCATGAATCCCAGAAGATTTCAAATCAGAGCAGGTTCTGTAACTGGTTTGGTACCAAAACACATTTTTTCCAGTAGTTATCTTTTCCAAACTTGGCACTAAAAGGTAAACACATTGACTCAAGATTTCGTCAATAAAATTGAATCCCAAATAAAAGATCTGAGTGGTTTAAGCTTCTACATAGATTATAAGGACAGAGCATGAAAGGAGATACTTCGTAAAGAAAAAAACAAATCTGTGAAAATTTCAGAAGCATGTATAAATAATGAGAACACTGTTTAAACATCAGCAAGCAGAAACAATGATAATAAACAGTCTTGAAGCTTTGGGAAAATGATTCTCAAATTGTGGTCCCCTGACTAACAGCATCACTTTCACCTGGGTACTTGTTAAAATGCACAGTTTTAGGCTCTACCCCAAACCTAATGAATCAGCAACTATAAGAGCAGGCCCCAGGAATCATTGAGTCCTCCAGGTGTTTTGAGAGGCAATAACGTTTGAGAGCTGCTGTTTATTCAGTCAGCTCTCTATCTACCAGCTAAGATGAGGAGGAATCACTCTCTCGGTTCAGATGAAGTATTAAAAGGCAGTACTCTAGATGCAAGTACTCTTTGGAGCCTCACTGCCAAAGCACTAAGTCCACGTTACTCAAAGCGGGACCATGGACCAGTAGCAATAGCATCACTCGGAAGCTTCCCAGAAATGAAGCATCTTGGGTCTCAGTTTACACTGAATCAGAATGTTCATCCCCAGGTGATTCCTCTGCATATTAACATTAGAGAGGCACTAAACTAGAAGCAGCAAATCAAACTTGTGAGAGAAAGAAAAGATTCTTGACCACAATACCCTACTCTGAGAGAAGTGGGAAGCACCTTGCTTACCTCTAACTCTGTCTCAGGCTGCAGGTTGGGAAGGCATGGACTCCAGAGCAGTTACTTAAGCTCAGGCCCTGCCTTTCCCATTGGCTGCCTCTGGAACCACAAGAGAAGACCCCTACTTGTCACTGCTGGCTTTGACCTATTGAGTTGCTTGGCCTTCAACGTACTTGAAAATGTGGCCAAGTACATAACTCCTTGAACTATGAATATCTCAATGCCAGGTAGCAATAAAAACATAGACCAAAAGTTCAACCCACTTAATCCCATAAATTATATGGTAGAAATACATATATTTTATGTCCCCATTAAGGCACTTCTCTGAAAACTTCTTATTTTGTTCTCAAATCTTTTTCAATAGTAGATACTTCCCAATCACCTACTCCACAGATGTGTTGTGAAAGAGAAAAGCAAAAACGTTAACATGGACTGCTTCAAAGAAAAGCCTACCCATCTTTTATTACATCTTTATAATACATTTTTTAAAAAGTATTTTTCCAACCAACCTGGTAACATGGATCCCTCATTAGTAGCCTCAGACAGATTAACACTCTCAGAAAATGAATAGATGGGGCTCGATTAACCCACTCTCTGAAAGAAGAAGACAAGAGAACATGTCATGTCTAACACCCCAACGTCACAACACATCAACAGTGCAAGACTGTGAAAGAATATGAAGAACACATACAGAAATCAGCACTTCATTTATTTGCAATGAGGACTGGTATCTCATACTTGGACACTTGACCCATTTTAATTCAAAACACATTTAAACCATCTTTGTCACCATAAAGCAGAGGCTCCCCCAAACTTATTTTGCTTACACTACTCTTACTGACTCAGCAGGATTTCACAGTACCCCCAGGACAAAAGAAATAGCTAAAAGTTCCAAAAATTAGTTAGGTCCAACTTAGTAAGAATTATGCCCTACTAACCTAGTATCCCTTTGAAAACATCATATGAAAAGGTTAATCATCAAACTTACTTATAGGTGGAGCATGTGCACCTGTGGACACAAAACAACTTTTCAAGCCTAGGAATCAGATTGGACACGACCATCCCTATTTCCTCTTCCACCTAATTTTCACAGGGTACCTTCTTTTTTATCACAGAACCACTAAAACCTCAGCCTTAGAAAGATATGCCATCTCTAAAGGAAGGTAGTAAGATCTGAGGTTGAAATCATAGCATGCCTTGAGTCGTCTGTGCCTGGTCTGATGGATATTGAGTAACACTGCTCTCCTTGAAAATTTAAAATACTGGGCTCGGCGCCTATAGCTCAACCGGCTAAGGCGCCAGCCACGTACATCTAAGGTGGCGGGTTCGAATCCCCAGCCC